TACGTCACCCGCAATCACCAACCAGAATATCGCATATCATGTTATGCACCTTTATATCGACGTCTACACGTCGGGGTTCACCTTCCCAGACAGGATATATTTCCTCCAAGGGCTTCACCACCATTAGATGTCTAACCCGAACCTGCCATGCCATAGAAAATGATATTAATAAATCTACCATGATATTAATAAATCTATCAAACTGAATCAAAAACTCTACCAAAATGTAAAAACTCTACCAAACTGTACAAACTCTACCAAAATGTAAAAACTCTACCAAAATGTTAAAACTCTACCAAATTGTAAAAACTCTACCAAATGTTAAATTCTACCACATTTACTAACTCTACCACAAATTGTTGTATAATAAATAACTCTACCAAACACTAAGCTATTATCAAAAAACTCTACCAACTAAATAGCTGCTAAGGTACAAGTACCTTGTGGTCCTCGGTTTCACTCTTATCCATCTCCAAAAGAGTCTCGAAAACATAACGACACCATGATGAAGTCCACCTAAGAAGAGGAACAACCGAGTCATCTACATCGGGGCGTATTTTCCCTGCTCTCTCAGCCAATATAGGGATGCACTCATAACCCCAAACAAGCATTGCCTGTACACATCCGTGGAGAGTGTATCGTGCTCCCCCCAAGTTAGCAATCTTGATGGAATAAATTAGTTCATGGAATCCATAACGACCCCACGGCTGTCTCTCGAAAGCTGTTTCATCCATAACTGTTTTGGCTAAAGCCAACGAGATTCGACTGTTGCGGTGAAGTCCAAATACGCCAACATGCAAAATGAAAAGCAACGCCAACATCTTCTTCTTCTCATAAGTCCATGCTTGGCAAGTTTTCATCCGAGCTTCTAACTCATTCCAATTAGGGCCTTCCCCACCTCTCACTCCAATCTCGGCCCAAAATTCGGTGTGATCTATTTCCAACTTGTCATTGGGATCAATTGGGTCACAGTTTAGCCCCGTGATTTCAGCATACTCTAAGAGTGAAAATCTAACCGGGCGACCTCCAATAAGAGTCCAGAACTCATGATTCCTATCCACCTTCAGTTGGTTGCTCACAAAATACTGAACCGTCTTAGCACTCCATATGAACGAAGTCAATGCAAGCTTCAGTAGCACGCCAACTTGAGAATTATTCATGATGTCGTTGTAAATTTCTTCCCCAAGGTGATCCCTGATCATCATGATGAACTCATGAAGCTTGCAGTTATGATGACAACTCTTCTTCAGCAAAGGGAGATTTGCCTTCCGGGTACAATTTTTGGGGATAATCCTTTGAGCCGCTAGCTGAAGCCATGTCTGCAAACAAATAAAAACATTAAATCTTACAAATCTACCACACATCATAACAAATCTACCATGAACAAACACATGTCTACCAAACTCGACAACAACTATAGAATACCTACCACAAAACATTAACAAATCTACCAAAACGAACACAAATCTACCACAAATAAAAGAAAAGAAAATATAGAACACAAATCTACCAAATAAATACATAAATCTACCACACACAAAGAGAGAACGCAAATATAGAATTCGTAAGTCTACCAAACGTAATTTTTAACCCAACCATTACAAACACAAATTACTCACCACATATGAAAACAAATCTACTATGAACATGTCTACCAAACTCGAAAGCAACTATAATATAAAATCTACCAAACCCGGGAGCAACTATAGTATATAACTCTACCAAATACGACCAAAAGTCTACCACACATGGAATAAATCAACCAACAATACATAAATCTACCAATACAATCTCAACAATAACTCTACCAACAATACTTTGATTATTCAAACAAGACAATGAAACGAAAACAAATCTACCTCACATAGAAAACAAATCTACCTCACATATACAAATCGACCAAATGCAACAACTACTGAAAAGTCTACCAAAAACAAATTAAAACCGAACCACTCCGAACAGA